GATAGATAGATAGATAGATAGATAGATAGATAGATAGATAGATAGATTTTCCCTTCGTCAACCAACAGGGAATGTTAAGTTAATAGTACTGGAATTATCACCATCAAAGTTGACACCAGCCAGAGCACAGAACAACACAAAGAAGTTATGCAAGATCAGAAGATGTGGAGAGACATGGTTCATAGCATCACCAAGAATTGGACACGATTGAATGGATAACATTTCATCATCATCATTGGAATTATAGTGAGGAGGAATTTGTAAGGTGATTGTAGAGATGAAAGGAACAGGTTAACTATAATAACTGCAATGTACAAAGCCTCTTCCTTATCAGTACATAATGCATGGGATATCAAGTCTTAGTACCCCAGGCACGAACTGCACATTTATCTATGAAATGTATGACCTGCCACAATTCAGTGATTCTTGGCAGCTTACAAAACTGAGCTGCCTTTTTCTGTTTTTAATAGCGAAAACAAGCTTAATTGCCCAACAGAAATTTGCCATTCTCAAGTTTGCAGATATAATGGGAGAAGGACAATCTGTTGAAAGGAACTATTCAGTCCATGGGTTTCCTGCTATGTAAAAGGGCCTATTTATGTCAGTATTCTCTGTGCATCACTCATAGTAGCCATGCAGCCCCCAGGCAAAACCTCAAATCCTTGACATAGTAAAGATAGCAGGTCTCTCTATTATTGGCTTAAGTTCAGAATTTTAACAGATTTGTTTTTCAGAATCTGGAAATGTAAATGTTATTATATTATAATGCATCACTGCCTTTTAACTTAGATAACTGGCACTTTTTACAAAGCATACAAAATTATTATTTAAATTTCATGCATGGGTGATACTGGCCCCAATACCACCCTTTCAGCATTTTGCTCTGGGTCTAATTTTTTCTGTCACTGTCAGGAAACTCTGGATGATTCACTTTCGCTTCTAAGAACACTAAATGCACTTGTTTGTTCACTTGCTCGCTGCCGAATGACTGGAAGGTGGCTTTCGTTTCTTCCCGGAAGTTTGGATTAATGTTTAGGTACTCTTCTAAAAAGACATCCACGGTACAATGGAAACAATAAGAGAAATCATAAAAAATAATAGCACATTGCTGAAAAAGACATAAATGTAAATCTTAAAATACGTTAAACTACAAGGATTACAATACTCATTCACTTTAAAAAGTAGTCCTTAACGTACAACCACAACTGAGCCCAAAATTTCCATTGTTAAGCAAGGCAGTTGTTAAATGAGTTTTGCCCCATTTTCAACTTTTTTGCCATAGTTGTTAAGCGAATCATGCAGTTGTTAATTGGATCCTATAGTCATTAAGCAAATCCAGTTTCCTCCATCGACTTGGCTTGTCAGCTGGGAAGTGGTGATTACATGACCCTGGGAAAGTGCAACTGTCATAAATACGTGGCCAGTTGCCAGGAGTCCAAATCTTGATTATGTGACCATGGGATGCTGGTGTGACAGTGAAGCAAGTTTGAAAACTGGTCATAAGTCAGTTTTTCTCACTGTCGTTGTGTGAGAAAACAAACTCAGGCAAGGCAACATTGTCTTCATATCCTACAGCTTGCCTAAAAACATGCAACACCTTCTGTGTTTGTTTCCAGAACTATGATATATGAATCCCCAATCCTGCTGTACTTAAAACTTGAGGAAAGGAAAGGCATATGTGTTTAGATACTCCCTTATATTTTGCTGGGTTTGCCTGAAACAGCTTCACAAAGTGTGAAAGACATCATAGGACATCATGAGACCGCTCTGACTAGAATTCATCCATACAATAAATTCATATCTTGAAAAAGTAAATATTCCACTCCATAATTAATGAAAACATAGACTAAAATCAGGCCATGTTATTAAAGCAAGATGGAAAAATCTCTTACCAGTCACCACAAGTTCTTCTTTAGAGGTTTTAGATACACTTCCATGCTCCACTGTGCAAATATAATTGCCATTGTCTTCCAACTTGACTATCTTGCAATATGTTAGGGTCTCTCTGCCCTTTGTGCTATTCAGAATTGTTTTATTTTTCTGCAAGATAATTTCAGTTTGATCCTGGCGAAGTAGGACAGTTGAACATGTTATACAAATCTTATCCCCTTCGGTAATATTCTGTGGTGGGTCGATGGTTATTTTAGGAACAGAAAATGGTTCTGCCAAAAAAGAAGGAAATCTATGATAATTTAAAAAAACACAAAACGGCACATGGAAAGATTCCAGAGAGGTCGCTACATTACTCCTCTAAAGCAAAAACCTAAGCCTGGGCCTTGTGGCAGCTGTCAGAAAAATAATTTGGGGTTCCAACTCAAGCTGTGGCTGCGTAAGAATAAATAAAAATGAGATCCGGGCAGCTATGAGGAAAGAATAAATATTTATTCCTAAAAGCAAAACAGTTTGCATTTAAGGGAAAGCTGCAGAGAAATGGGGTACAACAGTGGAATTTTATAGGGGCAGCTTGTCCAGGTGTCATGGGCTGATTCTAGGATGACACTTGAGGGGCATGTATGTGTGTATGCGTGTGTTCGTATGTTTATTCTTGTGAATATGGAGCTCCTCTGGGAGACCTAATTTACTTAACTCTATTGTGTTTGTAGATCTTATCTTTTGATATGTGGATTAGGTCTAGGTAACTTGTTTGAGGAAGTTGCTAATTTTAGCTGATTAACTTAATTTCAGCTTGACTGTTAATTATCTAGTGGGAGACACTGATTCTCAGACCATTGTAGACAGTGATGGGATTCAATTTTTTTTTTTACTACCGTACCGGTTCTGTGGTATGATGTGACCCAGTGGTAGGATTAATTTTTTTTTTACTACCGGTTCTGTGGGTGTGGCTTGGTGGGTGTGGCAGGGGAAGGATACTGTAAAATCTCCAGTCAGAGGTGGTATTTGCCGGTTCTCTGAACTACGCAAAATTTCCACCAGAAATTGGAGAACTTGTCAGAACCTGCTGAATTCCACCTCTGATAATATTTTGAGGGGAAGATGGAAACAGTATAAAGAATAAAATACGGTATATTCGGATATAAAACTTCTCACACACCTTATAAGCTAACTAAGAATTTAAGATGTCATTGACTATGGTCCACTTCTTTAGATATATGTAATATTATCCATATAAAGGAATCTGAGGAAAGGGAAGGGTGGGAAAGATAAAAGTAAAAATTAAATAAACTATACAAAGTAAAAACAATGATTACTTATAGTTAGTCGGGCTGTGTTGTTATTTATTTCTTGGAATTGTTGAGGCTCTGGGAAAATATACATTTGATTTAAGTACTTGGTGTCCAATGGCATGTTTGGAGGTGGGCATGAGATGGTAATTTCAACTGTGTAATGAAAGCCTTGCCCTACTCCTTTGTACATGCATGCAAGATTGACCCATATATAAACGGAACAAGGGATAATCTCTCTCTCTCTCTCTCTCTCTCTTTCTCTCTCTCTCTCTCTCACACACACACACACACACACACACTGCTAGGTCAAATAATGATCTAAAGCAGTTTTTTATCTTTAAATCCAGAGCACTGCATGGGCCTAAACAAAAAAGACCATTCATAATATAATTCTGTACCCCAGTTGAATTTATTCTCACGCTGGGGAGATTATTAAGGAACATACACAATGTTCTAAGAAATAAGTATGTCTGTTCAGCCGAGAATAAATTGCATTAAGACCTTTTAATAAAATTTCATCTCTGCTCCTTCATGATGATGAACAGACTTTAGCAAAGTAATTGTGATGAAATATTTGAGTTGGGTTTCCCTAACGGCAACATCTCCACTACTTCTAGATTAAGCTCTGCACCCACAAAAACACATGTGGTTGTGTCTATAAGGCAGTATAGCCAGTTAACTCCTCATTCTTTTGGGGTGCCAAAAAAAAAGTGACTGTAGAGACAATTGAGCAGCATGGATTTTGGAACTTTGGGGTGGATGCAGACCTACTGGGCATTCTTGCCTTGTTCTGCTTACTGATTTCTAAAGATATCACCCTACCCTTAGCATAGCTGAGTACTTGCGGTGCTGCCCATTGGTCAATTTGAGGACAAATCCATGAGCTCATGAGATGCTTTCAAGCCTGACATCAGTAACAAGAAGAGCAATTGTGGAATGGCTGAAAACAGTTGTTGGAATGAAAACTGTGGTGGTGTGCAATGTCCTTTATTTTCCCTGGGTTAAAAATGGTGACGTTCTTATCACAGCATATATTAATCAGCTGATCCATGCAAAAAAAACCCATAAAACTGCAGAAGGATAGAAAGATGCATACATAGTATTACTTTCTCTGGAAAAACAATAGACAAAGTTGTACAAACGAAGTGTCACAAGACTAATGGTTATTTTATTTTCTGTAGTGATCTTTGAGGACTTATATACTAGTTACATTTACTTACATTTAGTTCTGTGCAAAACTCTTTTATGAACCATGGAGGAATTTAACAAAAACCTTTAATTTATTTTAAAATATATGACTGCCAGCATCAGGGATAATCCAGAACCAGTGCTTTCGGCAGTTCTTGTACTTTCAATCATGAGTTAGCTAACATGCTTGGAATATCTCTGACAATTTGAAAACCGCCCTGCTGATTCAAAGATCCATCTGACATAGCAATTATTTCTCAATATGTTAGGATATTTAATTTAGTAGCAGGAACAGTAAAGTGTACAATTGGCCAGAAAACAGAGTTGTAATTAATTAGAGAGTGCTGACTCATGCATGAGGCAATCTATGCTATGATTGGTTGCTGCAAGTTTAAAAGGGGAGTTTCCCCTTTTTCCCTCCTTTTTTTCTTCTGTGTGCTTTGTATAATGTTTAATTTACCCCATGATGCTCCTGTGTTCCTGACTATCTTGAGTTTTTTTTTTTCTGGATGATGACAAAGACTGCTATAAATTTGAATGATAAATATATTTATATATATAAAACACTGCAAGTTTGTGTTAGTGTCCCCAACTTTATCTGGACAGCTGTTGCACAATTCCCTGACACAATATCACCTAGAGAACTGAGATCATTCATAGGTTTCACTTTTAGGAATATTTCATTGATTTTAGGAATATTTTGTTTATTTAACTTTTAGAAATATTTAAGGATATTTCATTGATTTGACATTTAAGAATATTTCATCGATTTGACTTTCAAGTTAGTTCCTAAAAGCCAAGTTGCCAAGACATATGTAGAAAGAACCATTACTAAGTGATTCCTTAAAGTGTAAAAAAAATGTAGAAGAGAATATATTAAGGCTGGTTGGGTTTACCATGAGAATGTGTTTATCTGGGATAATGAGAATTTACAACTCAGTCTGCAGCATTTTTTAAACAAAATCAAAAGGCATAATTTTGCTTATTAATTTTGAAAGTAAAAGTCTGACTAACTTACCTGAAACTGTGACTATTGTTCGGTTACTGCGCCCTGAAGCTTGAGATCCTGTCACTAAATTCATCTGGACAGCACATTCAAAATTTAAAATACTGTCTCCGGCATCAATGGGAAATTCTAACTCAACAAAGTTTTCAACTTTCGATATTCGTTTTCTGTCATGTACAACTCCATTTGCAGACTGTTTAGTTTTATAAAATGTGAAAAATAAAGGTGGCTTTTCTTCTGGCAGTTCACAGCGTAAAAGTACATTTTCACCTTCCATCACTTCTGTTTTCAGGACACTCAATTCCGGCTTCATTATGCCTTCAAAATAGAGAAGCATTCATGAATTAAAATATATCTTTGCAAGTGACAAGCTGAAAATCATTTCAGCTTGATCTTGGGATTTTTATGTGTCAATACAGGAAAAATCTCAAGTTCAGGCTGTTTTTTTCAAGCTCTGAAAAAAAAAGGAAAACCTAGGATCTTTCTTCCAAAGGATCTTCTTCTAAAGTTCTTTTTTTCTTGAAGTTGTTGTTATAAGTTATGATAAGTTGTAACAAACTAGAGAGCCATGCTGGTTAAGGCACAGGGCTAGAAACCAAAGAATCATAAATTCTAGTGCCACTTTGGACATCAAAAGCCAGCTGGATGACTTTGGGGCAGTCAGTCTCTTTCTCAGCCCAACTAGCCTCACAGGGTTGTTGCTGTGAGGAAAATAGGAGGAGAAAGGAACATTAGGTATGAGTTATTTATAAAAATAATAAAGGCAGGAGGAAAAAAAATAACCCAAAGAGGCAAATAGCAACTGACAGAGAGATCTTTTTGATAAAGTAAAAAAAGTGCCACTTTCTTTGGGAAAAGGATCACCTAAAGAAAGCCATTTTGTATGTCATGGTTTCTTTATGGATTAGAGCCAAATGCCACAAGTGTTGCAAAACCTCTTTGGATTTCTTCCTCGTAGTACAGACTTGGGAAAGACTGTTTTGTTGCTTTGGAAATTTGTAACACTAAATGGTAGAGTAAAAGGATTTTAAAAAAAAACAACTGAATAAAAATCTGCAGTCCAGATAGAATTTTACACAAGAGAAGCTACATCCACGGAAAAATACCAGGAAGATGTGACTATGAAAAACATGAGACACAAGTGATAAAGCTGGGTGCTTTCCACGAAAAAGGCTAAAATATGTTAAGTAAAGAAAATGAAAAATAACACAAAAAGATTTTCTGGAATAAGCAGAAAGAAAAGAAAAGAAAAGAAAAGAAAAGAAAAAGAAAGAAAGAAAGAAAGAAAGAAAGAAAGAAAGAAAGAAAGAAAGAAAGAAAGAAAGAAAGA